CCCCCCACATAGAGAGCGAGAGAGTATCAGATTCCAGAATATTGACTGCAGACCCATGCATGTATACGAGAGTGCTGGATTATGATTACTTAGAAATTATTAAGGAACAGGCAATTATTATCTAATAATTCTCTCACCTTATTTAGCCACTCAACTCTCTCCACATCTGGATAATGAACCTGGTGGAGAGATAGACAATTATATCATATTAATAAAAGAGAGAGGGAACAAGACTGCTTCTGTAAATGTGCTGTAAATGTGCTGCGGTGTCTTTGAAGAAACCCCTCAGGCTATTACACACATGCACATTCTTGGTTAACAGATGGCATAAAAAATTATAATTCAATGTATGACAAAATAAAAAGACTTCCTGTCTAAACATGTGAAAGGTTCTCTATACCAAAAAATGGCGCCCATGTGTATTCTCTCCTTTTCTTTCACTTCAGTGGTATTATCATGTCTATATGTAGAGCAATAGGGTCAGGGATGAGCATAGCTGCAGTCAAATCCCTGTAAGCGTAAAATGCTTAGCCTGCATTTGTTTCATGCAGTGGGAGGGACCAAGGGTGACCGTGATTTCACCAAATACAACATGTTCCTGGAACAACATCCAATCAACCAATCAGAATTGAGGGATCATTTTTCAGGAAATATCTGTTTTAGGCTTACAATCATGGTTAGGTGCTTCTACACCCGTGTTAATCAGCTATCATTTCACTATAATTTTAGGAATACATTCTGGGTAGGGTTAGGTTTAGGGGTAGGGATTGGGTTAAGTCTATATTTTTGGACAGTAATGTTGATCCAAGATCAACAAAAGATGTTGATCTTGGAACGTGTCTTATACTTGGCAAAATCACGGTGACCGGGAGCAAGATGATACACCAACACTGCACTTTTTTCCATTTCTAAAGCAGTGCCATACAATAAAAATCAATGACATCACTGGGGTCCAGCATTTTTGTTGTGGGGTCAACAAAAATGTGGGGTCCCACTGACTATCATTATATGAACAATAAAGTTTCTTCAAAATATATTTTTTTGCGTTTTACAGAAAAAGAAGTCACACAGGTTTGAAACGACATTCTCGCATAGCCAGATCTTCAGACTGACGGCAGAAGGTCTGGAAACCTTGGACACTTTCAATGGCCAAGGACCACCCAAGAGGCCATATGGCTGACAGGTAAAGCAAGCAATAACGTTTCATTTTGTGCTGCGTCATGTTTAGGGGCGTGAAAATGTCTCCACAATAACAGACCGGTGTGTAAAACTCTTGGACGTATTTTAAAGATTCTATGCCGCGAACTTTACATGTTTCACGTACTTTTATAAATCCAGCTTTTAGATGATCCTGATAAGTGCTCATTGTCACAGTTGTAAACACGACGGATTTCTTCTTTCATGAGGGGGTTTGGCGTCACGGCATCATTGTTTCCAGGTGGAATGTTAAAGAACGCGACACACATGTCTCCCGGAATTCTTGTATAATTTAACCAATCAGATGACGACTTCGAAACTCCCGAAGCGTTTCCAATTTTGTGTGCCGTATGCATCAGATGTTCAGCCAGCGGTCTATGGCCATGACGTTTGAGGCCGAGACTAGGAATGACATGGCGGTTAGTAAATTATGTCAGAATCAGAATCGGGTGAACTACCCCTTTAATTTATCAGGTATCAAAAACACAATTTTTTTCCACCCAACTGGCACTGTGATGCCACAAAGAACTTCTGAGATTATGGCTACGTTGATACTCCATGCCTTATTTTGCTCAGATGCATTTTTTTGTTTGGACATTCACATATTTGTAACAGATTCAAGTGTGAACTGGTCCTGAACGATCCCACATGCACAAAAGAATAGCAAAGACATCACACAGCATACTGTCATACAGAAGTAAATGTGGAGGCCACTGAAGTCAGTGTTTATGCATTCATTTATAAGATGATGTGCAGCAAGAGCCAGCAAATTTGTGAGCAGGCAATAGGGAGGACAAGGATGAGGAGAAAGAGAGCAAAGTTTTTCCTCATATAGTCTTACCTCAAGTTTTGATTGTGTTGAGCTGTAACTGTAATACTTCTATAACAACTCACTTTCTCTCCACTGAATAGCTTTGCCGCTTTCTTCCACATTCTGGTATGTAAAATCTTTGCAGTGACTCCCATTAACTGAGAATTTTTATTGAATGTTAATCATAAAACTCTCATGATTTATGATATGACCATTCAGACTGAGGTCGCAGCAGACCTCTGACTTATGACCGAAAGTGGCCTAAACCAAAATGAAAAAGATCAGATTTCATGTGGTTTGTGCTGTTCACATTGCTATAAAAACAAAACCAGATCTGAGTCTATTAGCAAAACAAAAAAACAGGATTTCAGACACTTTTGCCTGTCTGAATGTAGACTTACTGACCACAAAAGGACCCTGTAATTTAACATCTTACAACTGAAACTTTAAATTACAAACAAATGCCACACACAAGCAAAACAAATGTATAGGACACATTTGAATCTCATCACTATGGTAACACAGCTGCAAAACCATAAACGCTTCTCTCCAAGACATTAAGCAAAAGCTGAAAGGAAAATCTCAGGTAAGCCACATCAGTTTACCTGAGAATACAACACTCTCAGCCTGAAAAGAGAATGCGTTTGTGGCACCCATAAGGCTAACCTCCTTCTGTATGTCCTATAAAAGTAACATTGTAATCTCAAGAGGCAAAATGGGGATGTGGGACTTCCGTCTGCAGTGCAATCACTCTGAATTTATTTTAATCGCAAAACAGTGTTGGTGCACAGCACTTTCCTCAGCAAGCTCTCCTACTGACATATTCTAGTATAACCATCAATCAGGGCAAATAGGTTTGGACACAGCTAGATCTACTACACCCAGCACTAGACTTTGGGTGTCCCTCCAAATTGAATACTGACTATTTTGTTTAGTATTAAAGATATGTGGGAAAGACACTGAAAGTTCCCATGGTAACTGTGTTTCTATGGTCACTAGAGATCTCTGAGGATTTCTCAACATCGACAAGACCATAGACAGATATCTATGAGAATGCTCCTTTAAAAAAAAAATCTGTCTAGAGATGAAACAGATTGTAGAGTTACCACAGTAATATAGAGATGTAAAGACTATGGATTCTTGACAGTGACATAATTGAATGAGAATGTGATATTCTGTGATGTTTCAAAAAAGCTTGTCCCTATCTGTTTCAAAAAAACTTGCTTGTGATCACTGGCATATATTAGAATGCTTTTAAATGCATTTACATATTTATTTTGTAACATGGATGCAACAAGATTCTTGACAGTGACATAATTGAATGAGAATGTGATATTCTGTGATGTTTCAAAAAAGCTTGTCCCTATCTGTTTCAAAAAAACTTGCTTGTGATCACTGGCATATATTAGAATGCTTTTAAATGCATTTACATATTTATTTTGTAACATGGATGCAACAGTATATACTTTGAACTCTGCAATGCATTTAATTAGACATTAGTAGCAAGCTTGAAGCTTTTAGGCAAGAGATAGACCCATGTCATTTAAGACAGCACTTCCAGAGAACCAAGAAAAAATATATATTTTCTTCAGGTATCACACACTTTCCAGGGACCACAGAGAAACTGGACAAACAAGTCATCAGTGTTTCAAAAGATACTTCTTGGTTTAAAAGCATGGCACCACAAAATGTGAATAATCACAGAATCCATAACACCACGGTTGTGAAATATTTTCTTTAAAAAAACAACAACAACTTCAAACTCATAAACCAGTTCAACAGACTTCTAATCTCACACAGACAAGTTTACTCCTGCCAGAATGTAATTTGATTAAGGCTCCAGAGCAGTTGAAGACTAAATGAAGTAGATATGGTAGTGGGTCG